CTCATTTCCAGTACATATGATTCGAAAAAGAACAAGTGAAAAATTTCCCATACCCAGTCTCGAACCCATGATCGCTGTGTCGGTATTGCAATAATTAGGTACCGAAGTACTAAACCATTCCGCCACCGAGCCACTTCAGCTCACTTTTCCTTCTATTGCAAAACACAAATTAGAATGAAAAAGAAATTTCAGCTAAAATTTATCAACACTCAAAATATATTTTTGAAAATATATCATAAATTAATGATGAGTATTGAAAAAATTTTAAAAATTTTGAAATCAAATTTTTGCCAAATAATGAGTTGTAAAGTTAACTCAGTAACGCTATTTTATTAATTATCTCTTTAATTAACCATTTTTAAACTTAAAACAGGTGGTTACTTAAAGCTCTGGAAAGCGAAAATCGTTTAAGTAAAAATAAATAAACATATTTGTAGACTATTTTCGATTTTGAAGAATTTCAACAAAATATGATCCGACGGGATCCGACGAAAAAAATTGCTTCTGTGGATTTGCCCATATATACTTTTTAAGCCTGAATTTAAACTTAATGCAATTGTAAGTATCTAATTTACAAATTGTTAATGTTTTTTAGAGATTTATTGATGTAAAAAGTAAATTAAATCCAAATTGATTTAAATTTTAACGGTTTTTTTTTTGAATTTATCAAGTTGAAAAAAATTTCGGTTTTATATATTCTATAGAACCGTTTATAATTATAGATTTGCCCTTAACAAAAAGTTAAAAATAAAATTTAATAATTGATGTATCAATTCGTTTGAAGAATGTGTTAATCTTATTATGTAGGTGTTAAATAAGTTTATATTCTGAGATTTCCTAAGCTCCTCTTGTTATCGAATAAAAAAAGGGGGTTTATGATTTTGTAACAATTCAAACAAATGATAAAACTTTTCATACAAATTTTATTGCAAAGGGGGGGGGGGTCATTTTTTGCGTACCGTAATAATTGAACGAGCCCTATTTTTAAAAATAAAAAAATAATATGTCTTCTTTCAAGCTCAATTCAATTTTCTAATAATAATTTAGCAATGGTTTATATTTTAACGTGATCTATGTATCCATTAATTTTAAACTTTGTTCAAAATCTTGATTGTTCCATGAAGAAATTTATACAAGTATCATGTCAGTTTGACCTTTTCACTTTATTTTTCTCTGACTAATCATATTTTTTAAAAATGTTTCTCTTCTTTATTTTGTTGTAATAATATTCTTTTTATTTATTTTCTTATTTAATAGTTAAAAATTCATATTTTATTTTCAGTTCCATATCACGTTTTAATTCAATAAAGTAAAATAAATTTTAATTGCTAAAGTTCTATACCATGATTCCTATCCTTCCTCACTATTATACAATATAACTTTTTGATGTTTACTCAGCAATTTATAACTTGCAAATAAGCATCGACCTGCTGTCATCCTCATATTTATATTATTTTCAACCCCAAACTACAGTAAAATGATGACTTTTTGTCTGTCTATAAGACAATACAATGCTGCTATGATATATAGAAAAAAAAACTTGGAAGATGCTTTAGGTGAACACATCTATCCCAGTAATGATATTTAAATTTTTTTCTCACTTAAAATACAATTTCAAACCATTAATATATGATCATAAAATATATTATCTCCTACTCTCAATTATTAATATAGTTTTGAATTTTTTTTTTTGAAAATATTCAAACTAGTCCAATATAAATTTAAAATGTTGTAAAAATGTAAATTTTTGAAAAGTAATGAATAACTTTGGTAATAGGGATTCAAAAGTTGAAAATTTCCCACTGGGATGTACGCGTAATTCATTGAAAGCGAAATTGAAGGTGAACAGTCGAATATATGTTGTGAATAGAAGATGAATACAGAAGTATCGATGCTTAGCAACGCTAGTACACATTTAGTATGAGGAGAAACAGGTTGAAGTTGAAGAGGTTTTTATGTGTGAATTTACTAAATATATTGAATATACAGCAATATTGACTAAGACTTATAAAGTGAAATTATATTTTTATGTATCCTATGTTTGTGACATTATATTGTATAATAAAATTTTCGTTAAAAAATAGAATTTGCTTTTGACCTTTTTCTAAATCAAATGAAAATTTCAGTCAAAAATTAATGTTTATTTTACATACATGTTCGATTTTTTGTTGTTAAAATTTCAACATATGATTATGTGCTAAAATACAAAAATAAAAATATCAAAAAGTGATTCTTAATTTCATTTTTCTTCAAGAATTCGATAAAATAGATTAAACTTTGAATAAATTAGAAGACGCGGGAGTAGTGAAAAAGATTACATCATACAACCAAGAATAAAATATTAAACGGTGAATAGCTTAAACTTTCAGGATATATAATGAAAGAGTATGGAATTAATATTAATATTCGTGCTAAACATCATATACCCTTCTTAAATCATAAGAAAACAAGAAATTGTTGGAAGTATTGATTTAATTCAATGTTCTTTATTGTTTTATTGATACTTTGAATGCTATTGAAATAAAAAATCCTTATTTTTTCATGTTCTTATTTTAAAAAAATGTAACTGAATTCATTGGTAATTTAGTTTCAGATTAAATTAATGGCAAAACAAATAGATTACCAAAATTGAAAATTTATTTTTTTTTTAATTTTGTTGATTTATTTACAACTGTTTAATACTTTTACAGTAGCGTGCAGAATATTATGGACGGTCAAAAAAATTTCGTTTTTATTCTCAAAAGCATACTTAACGTTGTCCAATTTAGATGAAATTTTCACCACTTATACTGTTTTTCATGTGCTTTCACATGATAAAATATAAATATGCTATAGTTAATAATTTTTGAAAAAACCGTTAAAATTCAAAATCAGGTGCGTGCAAAATATTATGGACGATTCTTTTTTGGTAATTTTTTTTATGTTTAAGCTATTTAAGCTTCCTTTTTAAACTTTAAACATGAAGTTCAAACATTTTACTCCAATTTTATACATTCTTAATGGATGTGTAGCAAGTTTAAGGCATAAAAAAATCATGATGAAAAATTATGCAAATATTTTACTATTTTTGTTACTTTTCATCAATAGCAAGCATTAATATCGGTTATTTTGGACTGTAATGTATTGAATTCTTAACTATCTTTCTATTGATATATAATTTGTCTGTATTAATATAGTCTAAATGAAAAAAATTACGAAAAAAGTTCATTGAAGAGGGAAAAATTTCATCAACAAAAATATAAATTGATTAAAATTTCTTAAATATCCATGAAATATTACCCAATTTAGTCTTATTTTCTCACATTTATGTTGTAGATTAGTAATTGAGCAGTTATAAATTTATATTTTGAGTAATAAAGTCATAAAAAGAGAGCCTTCTGTATGACCAAAAGAAAATTTTAAAGACGAAAAAAATATTTGTCATTAAACTTTTAAATATGCATTTTTCTCTCTTGTTTTTGGCTTAAATAGTTGGCAAAGAGTATTTTGAGTTGTTTTTAATTGATTTACATAAATTTATACTGCATAAAATGTAAAAAATATTATGAAATATTTTTCAAGTTTCAACATGACTTTTTTCATAGTATTGGCTCATAAAAATATATCTTATCGTGCAATATTAAAATGTAATTCTACCTAATTACTAATCTACAACATATATGTGAGAAAATAAGACTAAATTGGGTAATATTTCATGGATATTTAAGAAATTTTAATCAATTTATATTTTTGTTGATGAAATTTTTCCCTCTTCAATGAACTTTTTTCGTAATTTTTTTCATTTAGACTATATTAATACAGACAAATTATATATCAATAGAAAGATAGTTAAGAATTCAATACATTACAGTCCAAAATAACCGATATTAATGCTTGCTATTGATGAAAAGTAACAAAAATAGTAAAATATTTGCATAATTTTTCATCATGATTTTTTTATGCCTTAAACTTGCTACACATCCATTAAGAATGTATAAAATTGGAGTAAAATGTTTGAACTTCATGTTTAAAGTTTAAAAAGTAAGCTTAAATAGCTTAAACATAAAAAAAATTACCAAAAAAGAATCGTCCATAATATTTTGCACGCACCTGATTTTGAATTTTAACGGTTTTTTCAAAAATTATTAACTATAGCATATTTATATTTTATCATGTGAAAGCACATGAAAAACAGTATAAGTGGTGAAAATTTCATCTAAATTGGACAACGTTAAGTATGCTTTTGAGAATAAAAACGAAATTTTTTTGACCGTCCATAATATTCTGCACGCTACTGTATATATATATATTTTAATTCGTGAAAAAAGAAGTAATCTATATTATAAAAGCCCAATTCACTGATTTACTGACTTTAGAACGAAATCCATGTGAAGCCAATGATTTTGGGGGTGTTGATAAGGTGAGTGTCAGGTGTGGTTCCGAGTTTGAGGGTGTTTGTGTAGCCATGTGAAGTTTTGTGAAGCCATTAATAAAAATTTTGTGGGATAAAGGTGGTCCACGTTTGAAGGGTTTTTGTAAAGCTTTGTCGAAAGACTGATCCTAAAAATATTACGTTTATTTGCGACTAAAAGTTATTTGCAAAATAGTAATCAAATTTAAACGCTGATAACAGGCGCCCCTGAATTGCCTAGTATTGAATAAATGTTCTCTGTATTCATATAAGAAGATGCTTAGACTGATTTTTTTTTTAATCTCTATAGTAATTACATCAAAAGTTTTAAATCCTCTTACAAAGAAATTTTATGCACCACGATGCACCTAGCAGAATTTAAACCTAAAATTTTGAGTGTCAGAAGGTTATGTTTAAAAAATGTATGTAACAGGTAGAATTAAATAAAAAGAACAGTAGGACAATTATATGCATCAAAAACTAAACAATTGTGGTAAAATAAAAACTATTCAAGCTTTTGTTTTTTTAAAGTAAAAAGTAATAAAAAATTAATGCTTTTTTGGCTTTAACTGTTAAATAAAAAAAGAAAACTTAATATAAAATGAAATAAGAGAGCAAAAAAATTAAAAGAGATTTTGAAATAATTTTTTAAGACTTTATTTTAAATTTTTTAGTACAGAATTAGTGGTGTTATTAATCAAGGAGAGCGATCTTCAGTAGCAATTAAAAAAATTCTACTTTTGTTTAATAATGTGTGATTATCAACATTCATTGGGTTCAAAATAGATAAATTTATATCACTATATTAAATTTACAAAGACTGAATCAGCATCAAAAAATCTTGTTTTAAATATTCTTGAAGTTGTTTAGATTCATTTTCATATGAAAACTTCAAAACTGAATTAGGAACAAGCCTGTAAAAAAAAGAAGAAAAAACTATATTTATTATACTTTAAAATTACCATACACCCATACAGTGAATTTAAAAAAAAATTACAAAAGTCCTCGTGCTATTGATCGAGGGACTTCAGCGCATTTCTGACGCAGCGATCAGTATTTGATTAGCAAGTTAAGACGAATTAAATAGCAAAATAATTATTAAATATACCCTTAGAAGCATTTGAACTCATTACATGCTGTATTTACCAAATTTTGTGAATTACGTACAAAATCATGCGCAATTTATAGCGTACATAAATTAATATAATTAACTACGAAGAGGAAAAAAAAGCATTGAATTCGTGTTTTTAATTTTTTTTGCAATTAACCCAGGGTTGGGGGCTCCAAAAATAGTGCAGGAAAAAAAATGAATAAAGGTGTTAAAATGCAGTTAAAAACTATGTAAATTAGTAACAGAAAAAACCAGTGCTAAAAAGTAAAAGAGTAGTTAGAGCAGTTTAAAAGGAGCAAAATTTTAAATTATCACCAAGCCTTTGTAATTTTAAAATGATAAGTTTCTTTATCATTATTTAACAATTTGAAGAAGTTTACCAATACTTATTTATTTATTTTGCAGGTAATGCGTAGCCAGGGGTGAAATTGGGGCACTGACAGCCTATATTACAAGCTTTGCAATTTTTTGTCGTTTTTGCTTTTTCAAAAAAATAACATTTTCCATAGGTTTTTCCAAGGGGGGCTTGTACATTAAATCAACAAACTGATTGTTAAGCTACGATAATTATTGTGAATTTTATAGTGGTTAATGTTGAAATTAAATTTTAATTATTAAATTAATATTGAGTTTCAAAGACCTAGAATGAAATTAAATAGCATTAATTAACTTTTTCTTTATGCTCAAAAAAGCAAAAATTTCAAAAAAAAACGGAATTACTTTTTCAATTGCATTTTCTTATTTTTTCAACATTCAACATTATTTTTTTTTTGTTAATAATATGTGAAGGGTCCAGCCTTTCAGCGGAAGGCACTGCGATTCAATTTGTAAAGAATTTATTGTACTATCCCCTTTAGAATCCATATCACGTGGCAAGCTCTGCACATTGCAAAGACACGAGTATGTCATAAGACCTGATGTACTCTGCAATGTACTTAGTCACAATTCGTGTGCGCAAGATGCCGTAAGGAAGTCATCCATATGCTAGTATATCCTTATATACCTAGCAAAGAAGGCATATTCTATGCCAAAGACATCAATACTACACCCACCCAACACACGAACCGGGCTTAATTTAACTTAATTTAATTAAGTCTTTTATAATATTTATTCAGATATATTTTTTTTTGTCAATTCAATATTAATAAATAAGTATTAGAACTATAGATAGTAAAATTTTTTTAAAGGCATGTCATTATTATCACAACACATCATATTTTTTTTTTTTTTTTTGTCAGGTCTAAGCTAAACTGTTAGCTCCTTGTGTAATCAAATATAATCTTGCATTCGATCTATTAATACTGCAGATTTTTAAGGGAACAAGCTCTTGATCAGGTTTATCTTTGTTTTTATTTTATATTAATCAAATATCATCGTTTATTCCGGCTATTGCTCAGTTCATTTAAAAAAGAATACAATTTAAAAATGCTTTCAGAATTTTTCAGTCATTTCGATTGTAAAATTATGTTTGGAATATTTTATTTACTATAAATTTTGGATTAAAATTGATTTTCGAAGTTTTTGAAAGATTTTTCTGTAAAAGTGACAAAGAGTAGCAAAATATAATTTAAAAGCAAAAAAGAGAAGTCGACGAGCTACGACCTAGTAAAAGAGGATAGAGAGATGCAAAAAGCAGCAAAGAGAATAGGAAAAATGCGTAAGAAGAAGTGTGTGAGATTAAAGAGCAGTGTTGCATTCTGGCCATTTGTCTAGATCAGATAAATTCTGAGACAGAAATTTCTTCATAAAGATCGGTTCTACATGAAGATAGAAAATCTAATCTACACAAAGATTATTTCTACATAAAGAATCTGTCTACATAAAGATTCGATGTAGATGTCTACAATTCTACATTCTTCTCTGATGTAGACCTGGAAAAAATGTAGAATTGTAGACATCTACATCGAATCTTTATGTAGACAGAATCTTTATGTAGAAATAATCTTTGTGTAGATTAGATTTTCTATCTTCATATAGAATCGATCTTTATGAAGAAAGTTTCTTAGCTAGACAAAAACTATTGAAGAATCTACATTCTTCATCTAGTGTATACATCTACATTTGCAACACTGTTAAAGAGTCCACACCCCTGGCAATTAGAGGTATTTTGAAATTCAAAAGAAAAATTACAGAAGTCCTCGTGTTATTGATCGAGGGACTTAAGCGCATTTTTGTGTTAGCGATCAGTATTTGATTATCTATTTATTTTGCGTTCGTTTACAGATCATTAGAAGTTTAGAAGATTATTCATTTGAGTGTAATTAGCAAACAATTACAATGAGTGCTTATATAGAAAGGCTTTATTATTTAACGATCAATAAATAATTTGAAATATTTCTGTTAAAAGTTGCACTACAAAAACATCAATTATAGTATAATTAATAATTTGTTGCAATGAATTTCCATACAGAAAGGTTGTCATTTAACGTTTTTTTGGAATTCAAATTTTCTAACGGTCAGTAAATAATTTGAAATTTTTCCGCTAAAAGTTGCACTACAAAAACATCAATTATATAATTATGTTATCATTTAACGGTTATTTGAAATTAAAATTTTACAACGGCTAGAAAAAATTTGAAATTATAGAGGTAATGTTAATTTTTTAAACGTACTCATCACGTGGTTTTGTTTAAGAAAGAAAAAAAATCATTAATTATAGTATAAATACACTGTTTTAAGACTTTTAACTGTTCGATCGGACAATAAACAATAGTAACGGAGCTAATAAAACAAACCTGAGCTCTCTCTGATGTCTGCTTAAAAAGTTTTTTTTCAGACGAACGAGCAGCCGAACGAACGAACGAACATTTCGCATTATTTTAAATTTGCGCAAATTTAAATGTGTAATATTTTTTCATGTTTTATAGGTAATTTCATAGCAAAATAAAAATTTTATAGATAAAATATTGCACATTTGAATAAATGCAGTTCTGTTAATAATTATTAAATCATATCTAATTGTCAGAGATCGAAGCCGATTTTTTCGGCTTAACTCAACTTTTGATTTTTTTGATAGAAAAAAGCTATTTAACACACATTTCAAGTATTTTATATTGGACTTTACATGCTTTACTATGATTTTGTGTAATATTTTGTCAGCATGTAGCTATAGTAAGCTCAGAATTTCAAGTTAAACGATTTTAAGCCGAAATTTAAGCCGATCGGCTTAAAATCGGCTAAATTGAAATTCTGAGCTTACTATAGCTACATGCTGACAAAATATTACACAGAATCATAGTAAAGCATATAAAGTTCAATTTAAATACTTAAAATGGTAGTTAAATGGCTCTTTTCTATCAAAAAAATCAAAAATTGAGTTAAGCCGAAAAAATCGGCTTCGATCTCTGCTAATTGTATTATAATGATGAATTTAATTTTGATTGTCTTAATATTTGAAAACTCAGTTCAAAGCCCCTCGTGCATAAACGTGTGGAAAAATTTCATTTAATTAATTAAATAGTCTCAAAGTTATTTATAGTTGTTTAAACTATTTATTTAATTACACGGTGCTGTCTGCTGCCCTTTGGAAATGAAGAGACGCAAAAGGAAGCAGGATTTAAGTCCAAAAATGGACTTTGATGAAATCCCGAGTGGATCAAAACAAAATCTCAAGAAACAAAGAAAACAAGTTCCAAAAAAAAAAAAACTCCACGGCGGAACCTGAAGTTCCAGTAACAGCTGCAAAGGCTGAAAAGCCTTTGTTCATCCAGCAAAATATTAATGAAGTGAGAAAAATTATTTCACAAATCAATTTGCAGGTTAAGCCTGCATTTAAAATTTCATCAGCGGCTACAACACAAGTCATAGTCAAAAATGTTGAGGACAAGGCCTCAATAATCAGCGTATTGCGGTCTCAATGCATCCCATTTCACACTTTCTCCGAAGAATCAGAGAAAACAAAGTCATTCGTTCTGAAAGGATTTTACGAAACACCAACGAATGAAGTACTAAGATTACTTCAAGAAGCCAAGGTTTCAGCTGTCAAAGTGACAATTCTCGTCAAGAAGTCCGAGTTCACCTTTTATCTTGTGCATTTTCAAGATGAAAATGTGAACATCAACGTGCTCAATCATAACCACCGTAACATCGACAACATCATCGTCAAGTGGGAGAACATCAAGAAGGGCAACAAAAGCCCAACGCAGTGCTTCAACTGCCAACGTTGGGGTCACTCATCTAAAAATTGTGGATATAAGTTCCGATGCATCAAGTGCACGGAAGTTCACGGACCAAATCAATGTCAACGATCCACTCGTGATGGAAATGCCAAGTGCATTAATTGCAATGGTGATCACGCTGCCAGTTATAGACTGTGCCCATCGTTCATTTCGTATTCCAAAAGAATCGAAAAGTCAAGAGCCAAACCACAACTCAAAATACTGCCACAGATATCAAGTCTTTTGGACAGTAACAATTTTCCATCGTTAAGCAAACGACATCAAGTTTCTGCTCATTCACATCCAGTGAATGCTGCAAGTAACTCATCAGCAACATCTCAAGAAGAGATTAATCAGCAACAACTGATCAATAATATCAGTTATGCAGAGAAACTCAACGAAGCAGTAAAGAATGAGAGCCTTTTCAAGAAATTCACAGAAGCTCAAGAACGTCTAAAGAGAATCCCCAACATTGAAGAAGCAATAAATCAGTTCTGCAGTATCGTCGACGAAGCCGGAAAGATCCCAAAGGATGCACCTCAAGTAACTGCATTTAAACTCATGGTGAAGTATGGCTTCATGAGCTGCCCACCAGCACCGAACAAGCCTGTTCAAAAATAATTTATTAACGTAGTTCATAAGCTTA